TCAAGGTGCCACATCGGATAACATTAAATGTATCCCGCTTTAATTTCAAATCAATTTGAGTAACCTATAAAAGGGGGATCAAGAACAATATATACGGTTACGCAAACAGAACTCTTACAAACCTTCAAAGTCTAAACCTTGATCAAAACTTCATCTTTCTCAAAACCCTAACAATGGAAGCCACTCAATCCGACACTGATGAAGTTCTTTCTCAATCCCTGATGAAAATCCAAAGCACAAACTATCAAGTTGATCCAAATGTATCTTCTTATCCTGAAGAATTGAAGATGCTTATCGTTGCTCTGAAATGATCACCTCTGTCAACTGCCATGTTCAGTTCCTTCTCTGTTCCGATGATTTGGTTAACCTTGGCAGCTTCAACAACATCATACAATCATTCATCGGATGTGATCACATTCAACTTGATCAACAACAAACGGGTCAAGCTCTCCAAGAAGATATTTGTTGAAATCTTGCAGATTCCAAACAACCCTCCATTCGTCAAACCTGTTAACTCTCAAATTATCCACATGTTCAACGAGATGGGCCATCAACCAGAGCTTGATAAGATCAGTGACTTTCGCAATTCTGGGTTGCCGTGCATATGGAATTTCTTATTTGGAATTTTTCTTAGATGCCTAACCGGAAGATCAGTTGGACTGGATATAGGAAGAAAGGAAGTATATGCCATGGTTATGGGCCTATACTATGATGTAAATGTTGATTATGCAACCCAATTATGGAAGGAATTTGCTAAAAGTCTTGAAAACACAAATTCGGAAAAGGGAATTTCCTGTGCAAGATATTGGAGCTTGATTCTGCAGAAGGTCTATAAAAAAGAAGCCATTCCAGTCATGGAGGATGTTGAAGTTGCAGAATTTTCTTTGTATCAGTTTCCAAAGACAGTAGAAGATGATAAAGCAATCTTTACACATGTGGCTCGTATTCCTGATGTGATGCTTCACAAAGTAACTCCAACTCACAAAGTTTTGGTGAGATATTTGCGAACAGTTGATCAATCAAAGCAGACTGGAGTATTACTGGATGTTGCTACTTCGTCAAAGAAGAAGAAGCTTATCAAGAAAGATGCGAAGGGTTCATCCTCACAACAAATTCAAGATGAAGCTATTCAGACTGAAGAAACTTCATCTAAGTTGAAGAAAGAAATCATACCTTCTAAGTCTGGGGTATTGAAGAAAATTCGCAAGGCTGAGGTGAGTAGTAAAGGTGTTACTATTCGTAGTATTCCAGCTCCGGTTTCTTCAGGAACAAAGAGGCAAAGAGCTGAAGACGTTGCCAAAAACATGCAATGTACACTTGTCAAAAGGAGAAAGATGGTGATTCGCAATGAATCATCTGATGAAGAAATCGTACCAGGAACTCCACCAGTAACATCTATGGTAAATGTTTCTTTACCGATTATTCATACTTCGCAAATTTCTACCACTTTACCACTTTCCAAACCACTCGAAATAGTCACTACCAAATCAGTTTCTGAGGAGATACCTATTTCTGATACGGTTGTCAACGTATCTGATACGGGGGCACCTATCCTGAGTGTTGCAACCACAATCCCAATCACCTTACCTATTTCATTACCAGTTGTTTCAATTCCCGTTACCACTTTATCCACCACTTCATCAATTTTTGATCATGCTCTTCAAAACCCATTCACAACACTTTTTCCATCTCAGTCAACCGAAAATCCTCAACCTTCGCAACCTTTATCTGATAATGAAGCTGAAGGCGGTGCCTTTGGAGGGATCCTTGAAGATATTCATTTTGATTCAGAGGAGGAGGATATTCCTGATCATATGCTTATGACAGGAAAACAATTTAAAATCCTGAATCAGAAATTAAATGCTATTATTCAGTCGCAAGCTGATTTTGGCAGGATGTCCTCTATTTTTGCTATGGAGGTTGATGTAATGATCAAAGGGGCTGAGAAGCGGATTGTGGAGAAGGTTGATCAATCCGACAAAAATAATGAGTTTCGCATTCAAGCACAAGGGAGCAATTTTTCTTCAGCAGTAAAGGATTTGAAAGTTGTTGCAAAAGAACGTCATGTTCTTTTTGTACAAGATGTGAAGAAAGTTCGCGAAGATGTCAACTATCAGCTTCAAGAGTTGAAATCTGAACTTGCGAAGGAGCTTCAGGATATTCATGCTCAAAATGATGAAGTTCAAAAGCAGATTGCGGAGGTTTCTTCAAAAGTACAAAAGTTTGCTGATGTTCCTCATTATGAAGCAACTAATGAAGAAACAAAGGAGAAGCTTGATCAACTAACCAAGTTGGTGTCTGAGCTTAAAGTGATGGTTTCGTAATCTTCAACAACTCAAATTCTCACTCCTGAGTTCTTGTCTCTAAAATTTTTACTTTAGAACAAGCAATTCAGAAAGCTCTTGCTCCACTCGCAAATTTTACTTCTTTACTACCAAGGAGTGCCCCACCTGCTTTCACAGGGGTGCAAGGGGGAGAGAAAAGCTCAAGTAAGGAAGAAGATGTGAAGATAGTTGGGAAAGTTATATCTACTCAACTTATAACTACTCTTCCCATACTTACGAAGCCAATTTCCTCAACCACAGTAACCACAAAAACGATTTCCAAAGGAATTGTTATTGGAGAAAAAGAAGGAGGTTCAAGTTCAAAACCTCAAACAGATACAGTGGGTAAAGGAAAAGGGATTTTATATGAAAAATCAAAGGAGGAGAAGAAAGCTGAGGCTGAAGCCGAATTGGAAAGAATGAGGCAAGTATAGAGCATTATGAGGCAGAGAGCAAGTGATCCTCCCAGAATGAACAAAGGAGATCCTGCGAAGCTTTACTCTTACGAAACAATAGAGTCAAAAGTTGTAGGAAGGGAGATGTACGAATTTGAGAAGAAGCCGAAGAGGAGTTATGATATAGCGAACTCAGATAATTGTCAGCTGAATTTTCCAATAAATGAAATGCTATTCATTACTGCTCAGTACAAGATAAGTGAGAAGTTTGATAACCCTGATGATTATCCTCACATGAAAATCAGATTTCCTGCTGTCTTGGGGAAGAATCCAGATGACGTTTGGTCTTTATTGAAGATCAAAAAGGTGCTGACAATCAAGAAAGACGTATTGTTTGAAGATATGCTTCAAAATTTTCGTTATTTTGTTATCAGAGCAGACAACAAGCAGTATGACTTCACGATAGCTGATTTTCCATTGATGAACTGCAATGATTTAATTCAAGTGGCTCTGATCTTGAAGCATATGGAAGAAAATAATCTCAAAGGCTCTGAGACTGAAGTTTTCAAGGTAGGCTTCGCACATGTGAAGACATTCATCGACAACTACTTCGATTGTTTGGCTCTTACAGATGATGAAGTGCCTAATGTGCTGGGAAGAGAAGTAAAAGTTCCTTGGGAAGAAACTTTATCCCAATCAGCTTTGTCGAAATATGTAGTTGGAGAAATATGCCTAAAACCGTTCGGCATGGTGTTTTCTGGAAGAGACACAAAAGGGAAACCCAAGAAATTCTTGTTCAAAGTCTTAGAGATTGAAAGATATAATTCTTCGCAATATATGCACTTTATTGTTCGTATGAATAATTGCAAGAAGAATAATGAAGGAGACAAGCAAGATCTCAAGAAGGTGATCTCTTGGTATGGAGAAGTGCGAAGGACAATCCACTCTGCTGTTCAAAAGCTTATGGGATGAATAGCATCAACTGTTTACAAAGGGGGAGAATGTAGATGTAAAATTGTAAAAGTCGAATATAGTGTATTGTATAGTTTCGGATTTTATGTTATTTTACTAAGTCATCTGTTTTGCGAAGTGAAAATGTCTAGACTTAGTATATTTTTTGTACACTCATGTTCCCTATAAATAGGGACTGAGGTTAGAAGTAGAAAGGGACTTTTCGTAACAGATATTTCTTTTCTGCTTATTTTGTAATCAGTCTTTATTAATATGAGATCTGATTAATACTTACTCTTCGTGTTCTTAATATTCAATCACTCAAATCTAACTTTGCTTTCTCAAATCTCGATAACAATTCTCATCAATTTCAAAATTCAAATTTATATTTTCTAATTATATGTTAAATTTGAAGTTCTAATAACTTAAAAATTTTGATATATCTCTTAATTAATAATTTATTTAAAATGATTTAATTAAAATAATTAATTAATAATTATAAATTTTTGTTATTAAAATTTAATTAATTTTATAGCCCGTGGTTCGCACGGTTATAAACTAGTTTAAAATAAAATACTCAAAAAAAAGTACAGGGTTAATCATAGAAGTTTTAGCCATGATTTTGGTTAATTTTAAAAATCATCCAAACCTGTAAGCTTTTAATTTTTATTTTAAATAAAAAATTTATAATTCAAAAATTAATTTAAACAAATTTTTTTATTTTTTTTAATTTTTATTTTAAGTTTTAAGTTTTGGTTTTTATCTAGTTTTTCACTTTTAAAGGCTACCAACTACTTTCAGTGTTGTATAAATAAAACTATACCTTTTAACTTATAACTATCAATTAATTCTAAAACACACATAGTTTTCATTTCGATTTTTATTCCAACTCAATTGATATTTATTATCAGAATTTCCTAATCTTTGAGAATTTTGATATACGAAGAAATTGTCTTGGGTTTTTCCTTATCAAGTTGTATTGCATTTTAATTTTATATGATAATGATTGACAGTATTTATGTTTTATTTTTTAAAAAATACAACCCAAATACACCTGCAAAATTTTATAGACCACGATTATGATTCAAACTTATTTAATAGCATAAAGAGCAACATGCCACCATAATTAACTAGAATGGAATCAGTGCGCCTTTGGCGCTGTGGTTTTGGAATTAAACTGCATCACAGTTTTGCATAACAGTTACGTAAGACTTAGACATAGCAACAAAATATTTACAACATCAGATTTCTTGCATAAGGACATTTACATACTAACATAATATTCATATTAAAAGATTACTTCCTTAAGGGTTGTATAGGTACATATTGTTTATTTACAGTAGAACATCACTAAATAGATAAGCATATTACTTATAAGGATGCTTGTCTTCAGGGAGTTTCTTGATTTGTTGTCTGAGATTGTTGATAAGGGCGTCATATTTTCCTGCATTTCAAGGATGGTGTTGGTCATTTTTGCTGTCTCGTAGTGGTTGTCAAGCAGCACCTGTTGCATATGCAGGTAACTTTCATATGATGGTTTTGAATCCATCTGTGCCATCACTTCCGTCTTGTAGGTTTGGTGTTCCCAGGTTTCGCCGCGCATGTTTGTTAGCGACAGTTTCTCTGCCTCATAGTGAGCAATGAAAGTCTTCATTTCCTATAATGAAGTGGTAAAAAACTAAAATAAATACATAAATTTGACAAAGGTGAAGGAAAGAATCATTCAGTTCATATTTTGTGATGTTTGTTTCGTTTGAGAAATTCATCGAACACTTGACATACGTTGTCAAATAACTATAAATTTACAAACTTAGACAGGTGTTCTTACCTTGTTATCTCTGTCATGTAGGGTTTTGCCTTGGTCCAAAAAGAATCAAAAAGACCGGTGAAAGTTACACCAAAAGAAAAATCTGCACACGATAAGAAAAATCAAAAAGAATTTCTTCATATATAGACATCAAAACAACAATATGAAATATCATTAAAATATAAAATTTGAAGAAAAAAAAATAATAATTTTGTAACAATTGAACTTACAGGAACAACCAACTTCTGTGGGCCACGATGAACACTTGTTTAAGTCAAGCAATCGTAGAGACCGGGAAGACTTAGCTGTGAAAATTCCCTCTTGTCAAAATACTGAAAGTGAGAGTGAAGCATGTATTTCGTTTACATTCTAACTATTTTACCATCAAGAGTTATTATTATAATAATAATAAAAAAAGTTGTAAAGTATATAATTTTTAGAACAATAGAATAAAAAAAATGTACCTGAATCCCAATTGTGTACAACATTCTAATGGTGCTAAAATTTGATATTTTTCTTCTACCCTCTATTTCAAGTTCAAGTGCACCACTACAAATAAATATAATATATATATATATATATATATATATATATATATATATATATATATATATATATATATATAAATTAGGTTTCATTTGTCAATGTTTAAGTACAAAAAAATTTATTGTAATTGTAACAATATACAAGAAAGTATAAAAAATAAAAGGAAAATAAATAATACCTTGCCAATTTTTCCAGTAATACGCCCATGAGAATTTGTGGAGAATCTACGGGTGTCTCAAGCAACTGCACCAATTGCACTTGTTCCAATCTATAAAATTTAAGACATTAAATAAATATATAAATTTTTTTAAATTATTAAGAACTGTGAAACGTGAAAAGTAGCATATACTATTTTGAAAGATTTTTCTATCTTTTTTCTTTAATTCATGTCTCTACATATCAAATTTTAACAAATTAATTCAAATAATGAATACAAAACTAATTTTTAAAACAAAAATTTACCCTAATCTGTCCTGCTGCAGCCACTTTTTGGTCTTTCTTTCTCCATCCAACAGCAACTGAAGGGTCTGAGCCTAAACTTAGCTCTATTTGGAAGACACTCCAAAAATAAATATATAATAAAAAAATAATGTTTATTTTTTAAATAAAAAAAGAGCTTCTTATTCTTAATTTCTTACACTTGCGTTTGATGTTGCGGAGAGTTGACGATTCCAAAAGTTTGAAAGATTTATAGAACCATCTCTTAATGACATGGCAAGCCCCATTGTTGCAGTGGGATGACGTGACACCTATCTGAATCAACAAATAGCAACCTACTTTCATTTTTTTGTTTATTATAAATAAAAAATTAAAATTAAAAATAGCATCTTAAGTTTTCATTTCCAATAATACCACTGAAAGGGAAACCAATTAATCCTCTTAAACCAGTAGAAGCGATGAATTCAATGGAGGAAACAGAAGATAATTGATGTCTAAAAACAACATTTGCAGCTGCATCACCATCACTTCCTTTTACATCAGGGTCCCACCAATAGCAATAACATTAGTTTTTGATATTTGAGATTGGATTTCACTCTTCGTTGACATTCTGCAAATTTATAGATATGGGTACCAATCTTTTCAAGAATTTAAAGAATGTTATATAGATTACAAAATGAAAAGGATTAGAAATCATACGCTCTCATTAAACCATGCCCTGATAAAAAAAACTTGGAACTGATAATTGTGCTAGAATGACACCAGAAGGTTGAAAATGAGCAGAGGTTTTTTCGTCTTCTCTTTTACGTTTTAGTCTTTGAAGTTCTTCTTTGATTTCTTCAAATTTATTTAACTTTGGACAAAGTTCTAAACCAGAGGTTAACCCTTCCATACCATATATATCGTATATTTGTCTTTTGTTTTCATCAGTTAATATCTCATATGCTTCACATATCCTCTGAAAGGTCACTGTTGCTACTTCCTTTTGCTGAAAAAAAGAAGAAACATAAAAAAAACTTGAAATAATATGAAGTCTGTCTTTTTTGTAAATTTAAACCTGAAGAAGCATACATCAAATAACCTTTATTATTCTTATTGAAGTTTCCATCTGTCAATTTCGTCCTTCTTCTAACCTGTAAAACACAAATTAAATTGGAATCGTTGATTAGGTAAGTCAGAAAGAGGAGAGTCGTGGTGGTGTTGGTGGTTGGGTTTTCTGAATTATACCATCATGAAATAACATGTATGCCTGTTTCGTCAGTCTTGACCTTCTACCGATTATCGGTTGGACTTGTTGCTCTTCTCCCTTCTTAGTTCTTGGTCATTCTGCTCATAATCATTATACATATGAATTAATGTAAATATGTGATTTATATCATTTTATACAACCAACTTATATATATTTTCATATTAATGTGCTTCAATTTTTTACTTTAAACACCAACCAACTTATATTTTTACCAGTTTAGACAATATACAAGTTAAAAACCTGATAGTGGGATTCCTTCTTCTCTTTTCTTTAATTATCAGGTCTCAACTACCCCACTCAAGTTGATAAAAAAATATTGGAATACGAAACTTAAGTTGATCAACTGGGCAACCAAACCAGCTAAATAAGGATGCGATTAGCTATGCAACTGCAAAACTGAACGCATATAAAGAATACGAAACCTAAACTGAATCGTAGAAATACAAAAATACCCTTACTTCTATGGTATACTGTCACACCCCAAAACCGGAACGGCGGAAACGTTCTGGGGTGGATGACGTCATGTCAAGTATCACAACACATGCATTATAGTAATCAAAGTACAACAAAACATTGCATTAATAGTAATAGTTTTACATGGTTACATTAATACATCAAAGTAATACAAGTAATAGAATAAATTCAGTGTGGTACTAAGCTATCTTCATCAACAGCTCCGAGGATGTACCTGTCTAATGCTGACCTGAGAATACAAGTTATTTGAAAAGCGAGTATCAACATTTTTACAAATGCTGCTGAGTTCATAAGTATTTAGTGTCATTTAGTCAAATAATGTTATGAAGTAATAGTTTAAGTGTTTACATTGCATTAGAGTTCTTTCCAGAAAATCCTATATTTTCTTTAATAAAAGCAACCTTCTACCAAGACTGGTCAGTGTTATTTGGTAAAAAGTAGTTTTCCCTAAATTGCTATCATTATCAAAATACTGAATTTGATTAATGAGGGAAGCAAACGACATCAGGGAATAATATATGCTTCATCAGTGAGGACTGTTGACTAAGGCAAGGAATCATAGACTCCAGGAAAGTATCGAATGAACGACACGCCTGGTCCATTCTAACAAATGGAGGCACAGACCCCAGAAGGTACCAAATGAAAGGTACAACTGGTAAGGTCTCAAACAGTGAATATAGACCCCAGACAGTATCAAATGAAAGATACGTCTTGTAAGGTCAAAACAGTGAATACAGTGAAGACAGTAGATACAATGAATACAGTGGATACAGACCCCAGACAACATCAAATGAATGATACGTCTTGTAAGGTCAACACAGAGAAAACAGACCCCAGACAGTAATGAAAGATACGTCTTGTAAGGTCAAAACAGTGTGACTCTGAAAATGAATTACCAGCATACAATGTAAATTGCCGATAAGATACCGTTACCTTAAGACCAAAGAATTATAAGGTAACCCGGGATACTCGTAACCATACTGACTAGAGTACCAGACACCCTACAAGCATCCAAAATATGACATTTATCACCCGTTGGCTTGGTAGGCCAGGACTGTAGCTAGCAGTCTGGGTGCGGGGTTGTCAATCCCGTATAGATCTATACACACAATGTCCGCTCTCCCTACAGGAGATTCTGGTCACCAACTAGATGACGGAGAAGGCCGTGTCCTGAAGATGCATCCCAAATAGTGGGTAGAGACTTCCAAATAGTGGGTAGTGTGTTTCTAATGTAAGTGTAAACTAGATGTAGATACTCTTAACTGAACTGACTAGAGAATTCCTATATGCCCATACTTATACACATAGTATATAACTAATGAACCAAACGACCTTCGGACGACCATCCGATCCCACCAGACCACATCTCAACGAAGAAAAAGAAATAGGGCGGGCGAGCCTTCCTAAGTCTTTCAATAATTACTTATATGTATCTATATAAGCACAAACATACATCTAACTATGACTGTGTGTGTAATAAGTAGAAGTGATTCTTATGAAGTAGGAGTGTCTAACAAGTGAAGTAGGAGCGGTCGCAAGTGAATTAGGAGTGTCGAACAAGTATAACCGTATCACGAAGTAGAGACAACTATGAGTGAAGTAGGAGCGTATCGAGTATAAGTGAAGTAGAGACGATATCAAGTATAAGTGAAGTACAGTCGTATCACTAAGTAAGAGTGTGAACAAGTATAAGCGTCCATCAGGTGTAAGTGTATCACGAAGTGGAAATGTTATCAAGTATAAGTGTATCTCGAAGTGGAAACGTTATCGAGTAGAAGTATAAAAACATAGATGTAACTTTGGAAAACCTTTATATTTTAAGAAAATCACGACTTGGTATTCCTTTGTGAAACATGTTTGATTTAAAAATTTTAGAAATTCTTTGGAAACCTTTCATAAATCAGTTTGAAATGAAACTTTGATAAAGCAGTAAAAGTAAGTACTTGAACAAGTGAAAACCTTTTAGAAAACCATTTATAGCATCCTACTCGGTAAAACAGTATACAGTGTGGTAAAATCTTGTGCATGTGGGTTATCAATCACATGTGATTGATATGATAACTGACATGTTTAACTTGTATTCCCCCCTATAAAACATGTAAAAACATTTAAAAGGTTCATTAAGGGGTATGAACTCACC